CTGATTTTCTGCTATATTAATGGTGCAGAATTCACAGTCTGGGGAGCAGCATAGATATTTTTAATGAACCCATTTTAATGGGTGAGAAAGACTTTCAAGCCTCATGAATCAACTCAGCAGGTGATTGTTGCCCATCTCCAGCAACTCCCTCATGGTCCACTGCACCTTGAGTACCTCCATTACTTTTTCCCCAGTCAACTGAAAACTGAGTAAGGTGCTTGGCTGGCCCTTCCCTGAGCACTGGGGTAAATTAGCTGCACATCACTCTTCATCTCTTAATTCTTTCTGATAGTCCTTCACCAAGAAGAGAAAAAAAAAAAGGTTAATAAACGTTCATAGATGAACGGCTAGTAAACTGTTCATATTCTTTCTCAGTCCCACTACCAGCTTAGAGGGACCTCTAACATATCAGTTGTTGGAGATTTTGGAGGGTTCAAGGACCAGTGGTTAGTAGAAAGGAGTATATTCCAGGGACATTTTCTCCATGGACCCCCACCGGGGAAAATGAAGAAAAAAGCAGTTTTGAAACATAAAACCTCTGTTGGGCCCACATGCAGAGTGGTTATCCAGGCAGGACCTGCACCTGGCTTGTACTGTCATTCTTCCCTGTTTTTTGAGTCTGGCACTTTATCTTACATCATTCCCTGAGAAATGTGCACATTTCACTTTACTGTGTTATCTACAATGGCAGCACTGTCTTCTGGTTAGAGCATCTTGGGATCTAATCTGATATTTCTCAATACCCAGATAAGAACTTTAGATTATGTTCTGCATATCTAAATCCATATGGTATTCAATTATTACATAAAATGTCTGTTCAAAATTCCATTATAGTCTCATTTTCTGCAATGATTTAATTTGACTAGTCCCTGTAAAAATGTATCCATTGAGATAATTTGCATTTTTTCTGTTGTCCCCTCACACAGAAGAAATCCATCACATTACTTTGAGGTCATTTCATACCATATAGCATCATATTTCTTCCTGTCAAATCCATTTAGAAACAATTCTCATTTGACTTATTTATTTTAAAACATTCTTCCTGCAGTTTCTTTGCTGTTGCTGATAGGCATTTTGAAAGCAGAAGCCCTATTAAAAATACTTTTGAAATATCATCTTCATTTCCTGAAATCTTCAAATTCCAGTCTAGTTTCTGAAGTGAGATATCCATTGACTGAAGTGTACAAAGCATTCATGCAGCTCAACCTGCAAATTGTTGTCTATACAAAATAACCACCAGTGCAGGATACTAGTGCATTTCTTTAAATTCTACCTTGGGTCTTGCTCACCTTTGACATGGTGTAATGAAATTTTGATGCATGAAAATGTTAATTTTATTTATTTTCCTTTGTATGTGAAACAAGTCCCCACCAAGCGGAAGGCAGGATATCATGAATTCTTGTCATACAAGGCTGACTGTGCCAGCCCCCTGTTAGTTTGCACTGAAGGTAGAATCAGGAAACATAATAGCTTAGAAAGGTTTTTATGTTTTGGTGGGAAAATGTAATTAGGTGTATCTAAACAAAAAATTACAAACAAGGTAGGGTTTGAGAAATCTTGCTGTGGAATAGAATGACATCCTAACTTAATTTACCTTTGATTAAAGATCAATGTAGAAAAGAAACAAACACCAACAGTGAATAGTAACAATAATAAAAGCTGCAGGGTAATAGGAGAGCTGACTGCAAGCTGGCACTTCCCACTAAGACATACACTGTGTCAAAGCAAAGCTGTTAGGCTGGCGCAAAATGCAGTCACAGAGATCAATGCATTTCAAGGATGAGGAATGCTGTCATGTAAATACCCTTTCAATAGGACTTCTTAAACACTGAAAGCAGCAAGGAAAATCTCAGATGAAAATGGCCTCTCAAATTCATACAGCACAGAATGGAACAAGTCTGAAAACAAATGTTGAGACAGAAAAAAACCACACATGAAAACATATCTGCATCTCTCAGAAAGTATCTGATGTAAAAGAGATAAAAGATATGACAGGACATGAAATGAGTGAGGGCTTTGAGTTAGGTACAGCAAAAACCAAGATATCAGATGCCAAAACCTTGAAAAAAAGTGGTCTCTATAAATGCAGTATTTAAAAAAATCAAACATAGACAAAGTTCTCTTCTGTTTTTGTGCCACATCTTTGGCTCTTGGAGAGAAATACAACTGTGCTGTGTAGTCTAAGTCAAAGCCAATATATATCAGTCCTTTGTCTAGCTTTTCCCTTTTATTTAAACTTGGAGCCCTTGGAATGGGACTACTTTGAATCACCCAAGTAACCTAGAAGTCCTGATAAAAGGCACTAGAGGAAGAACATTTTATGCTTTGAGCACTTGAGGATTTTTATGTAGAAGAGAAAACAAAGAGATCATCTATTTCTTCCTCATTTATGTATGTGGATATTCAAGATAGCACTGTCTAGAAAGGTTTTGTTATTTTATGTAGAGAAGGGGTGGAAAATGAAGTTAGGAAAATATAGGTATTGAAAAAAAAATTTGCAAACTTTCCCCTGATAACAATGGAATGTCCCTATTTATTAGATGCTTATTTTACATTTGGATTGTTGGGATATTTCTGCATATTGTCTTTAATTACTAGTATGTCTTAGAGGAGCTGCAGTTTACTTGGTTTATGACAAAACTCCTTCTCTGGTTTGGGCTTTGTGACTAGATTATGTCTTAATCATCCCTGAGTGATCTGAATTTCTTTACATTGATAAAAATTGGATGAAATAATTTGGGTAGGCTACAAAAGTCTAAGAAAGCATAATTTCCTTAAAACATAATTTAATTTTTAGAAGACACAGTGAGGAGCTTAGTGCCAAACAAAATGGCTTGAATCAAATCGTCATCCCAAAGTAAAATATTTATTCTGCTAGAGTTCAAAAAAGATGTTTAGACATTTCCAAACCCCTTCTTTCTTTTTAATTTAATTTAATTTAATATCTTACTTTTCAGGCTAATTTGATGGGTTGAGAAGCTTTTAAAATATTATGATATTAAATTTACAATATCATAATTTCTAGTGGGATAAAAATCACAGTTTTCACCAGCTGCTAATAGCCTCCGGAGATATTCAGGCTGATGAGGTTTGCGATTCCAAACAACTGTAGATGAAAATATGAGAAACAGTTGACAATAATTAAATAATACAAATGTAAAATCACAAATCTGAGACAAGCACATAATTGTCATGGTATTATTTCATATGATTTTTATGTGATATTAAATACCATTAAATTGTAATACTCTTAGCAAAGACAAAATAGGAACATACTAATCTGCATATTTATATTTCAGGCAGTAAAGGAATTAAATAACACAGTATTAAGTTAGCATGAACAAAGTTCTGAAGACGTTCTCTTTTTTAAATGTGAAACTGATTAGCTGAAAATAAACAAATTTATTGAGTTCACCCAGAAATTTAAGGGGAACAATTCACAGAAATGACACAATTGTAACCCCTTTTTGTGTGTATGAATTACCTCGAAGCAAGATGTAGAATTTTGAAGTGTACCTGTAATTAAACATATTTGCTGAAAAAAACTCTAAATCTGCAGTTTATTTGCAAAAGCTTTATATACAAGTTCAATATTCAAAATTCAAGCTGCTTGATTAGGTCAGTAGGTGCATGTTTCTATCTCAGAAGCTTGATTCTTTATATCAAAATTTTGATATGAATAATTAAGACTTTGATTTTTGCAAATACTCTTCTCACTAATATGCTCAAAATTCATCAAATATTATTGTTAGTATCTCTATTCACCAGAATAATTACAGAAAGAAAGCAATACCCAGTTCAAATTACTTAAGTGTCTACGTACCTTTCCAGTGAAAGGAAACCTAGTTGATAAACAGAATCTGACATCATAAAAGAACAAATTATTTACTTTCTTAGCCTTTGAAGGAAGAATGATATTAATATCCTTTCAACATATGTAAATACCTTAAATGCATATGCGTAACATATGTTGCTACTTTTACATATTTTTTCTAAGAAAACGCATTTTTAATCTAAATTTAAAATATAAAAATAAAGTGTATTGACCTGTGGAGCTTGACATATTAGATTATCTGCATTATGTTGATCCATAACTAGGAAGATATCTTTTTGCATTTTTCAGCTGCTAAGCTATACATTAATATGGGAAACTGCTTACCCAAGCTTTTTTTACAGTGCCTCGGAAAATACTAGCAAAACAATTAAACCAGTGCTTCAATGGGAATTGCAGTGTATAGAAGTAATAAATAAATATATGGAGCTCATTTTTTAAATCTTCATTGTCTGAGTTGCTTTCCTATTACTGGCAGGCTTATAGAACTGCAAAAGCCATGAAAACTCAATGCTAACTTAAAAGTGCAACCTCTGTTACTTTAATATTTTTATACTGAGTATCAAGGCATTGTTTACAGTAGATAATGAAATGGAGATGGTGCAGAAAACATACCTCTGAAACACTTTCTACACAAAAGGATGAACACGTAGTTATTTGCACAAAGCATTAGAAAATACCGTGATATTTTATTATTAAAAATGCTGCTGAAAAGTTTATACATATGTGTCCAGCCATATATATCTTCTATCATTACTTAAGGCAAAAAAAACCAAAAAATTGCAAAACAATAACAGAAGAAACCATTGAACCCTGTGTGCCTCTTAAGGACAAGAATATAAGCCTGGGAAAGTACTTTTGTTTTTCTTTTACAGTTTCAAAGTATATTTTGATATCATTATTATAGAATTCTATGAAGACCCTATAAATCTGTTCCCTCTATAAATCATACATCAGTCCAGATGTATCAAATTATTAAATCAACTTTTAAAAGCTAAAATCATTCACTTACAGGAACTTTTTTTACCCAAATGTCACAAGCCTGACACAGTACTGTACATATTGCTAGCAGAAGACAATTGGAAGTACTAAACAAATACTGTAATTCACATTACAAACATACCCAACTGATTATGATGCCAAGCATCATTACCTTTTTTTTTACGGGTTTTTTTTTTTTTTACTTTTTTTTTAACCTTTTTTTAAGCGTTATAAACTGCTGCATCTCAGCTGAGGCATTACATAGCTGGTGGAAATGGCCTGGTATAGAGTCAGCATTAATATATTACGTGATGGATCAGTGAAAAAGAACAAAACAATTTTCCATTTCCTATTAGTTGTACTTTGGGGTTGCTGCTTCACCACATTCCAACCTGAGCTCCCAGGTCAGATTTATAGCACATTTACTGCAGATAAAGGATTATATCAGCCACATGTTGCATTTTTATCATGTCATTAACTTTTTATTTCTTTCCTTCAGAATTTGCTTTACTGTCTGCTACAACAAAGAGTTGTGCAGATGAATAGACCTCAGTGAATCAGCTTGGCTTTGCTTTTATTTGTAGGGGTGACTATTTCAAAGTATTTTGTTAGAAAAAAAAAAGTGTAGAAAACAAGAAGAGGTACAAGGCATCTTGTGTTAATCATTATGGGACATGTGATATCGATGCAGTTTAGTTGTGAATTAATAATAGAAAATACATCTGGGATAGTCACGTTCAAGTGCAGACCAATTTGTTCAAAGATCTTTGGTTACTATCTCTCAATGATGGAGTAACTTTCAAAGACAAAATATAAAGCAATCTTCATCTGCAAAAACTATTTTCTGGGTTTTCACATTCAAATCAGTTGTTTGAAACAAACTGCAAAGTTACTTTGATAGCTCTGCTTGGCCCCTGTTTTTCTAGTGAAGGAAAGGCAGAAGGGAACAAATAGCTCATAATTTTGCCTTTCCTGAGAGTGATGATCTCTGGGATTTTCAGTTTTATTCAAATGCAGAACAGCTGAGGATTTCTCTGCTTCTCTCTCCACAATGCTCACTGACTGTGGGACTGAGTGCAATGAATCAGCAAATAAGAATTTTCTGACAGGTACACTCTCAAGCGCAAAACAAGATAGTGGGCTGATAAGTTCTTCACACACTCATCACTCTGAACAGTTTGAAAAACAGCCAGCCAACCAACCCTGCATTTCCCAAATTTCAACTTGTAGTTTTATTGTGTTTAGCAATGCTGAGGAGGTGCTTTCTCAGCTGAGATTCTACTGCAACTGCTGGTGAGTATAGAGCTAGTTTTCCTTGAAGAAGGCTGACCAAAACACAGGCTTTCATTGCTTTTGTCAGGGCACAAAACTCTTCCTAATGCATCACAATAACCAAGAACTACAAACTGGACTCCAAATATATATTATTGGATATTTCTTGGTTCAGTTCAACAAGCTTAAAATAGTAATTCTTTTCTTTTGTATTTTTTCTCTTTGTTTTCCAATCCATTGCTGTGTTGGAATTTAACAAAGGCTAACACAAAATTAAATTATAGAAAAAAATGTTTCAGAAAAGAACAACAATCTCCTATGAATACTTTAACATGCACTAGTGTAACCTGTAAGAGAAAATACGCAGGTCACACAGACAACTGTATCCTCTGCATGACACTATGGCCTCATATAAATGAAACATGTTAGAAAAAAGTCATGGTTTTTGTTAACCACTAGTAATTAAGAAGAAATTCCTCCTTTGGTGTTGGAGGAAACAGAGGTCATATGACTAATGTATATACACATAGGTCACAATCGAATGCACAATCTTTCTAAAAGCTCTTTTCAAACTGAAAACATCAATAAAAGCTGCTTCTTTTTTTGTTTGTTTTTAAACTCACAGCTATGTACATTTTTACAAAGTTTCTTTAAATATAGTTCAGGCTGGCAAGTCATCTCTTTGCACAGAACTATACGTATTTTACTGCATAGTCAGTCCTTCTCTTTTTTTTTTTTCATTTTTGTTTTTAATAATAAAATTCTATTTTCCCCATCTGAATTACAGCTTCATATGCTGGGTAAAAGCCCATGGTGATGTCTTTGTTTTATCAACGGCCATGGTATGGCACATAAAGAATCTTTTTTATAATTTTATTTATTTTAAAAAAACCAAAACAAAACACCTGTACAGTCACTGGCTCTGTGTTCCAGAAGACTCTGCTTTGCTTGTTACACTTACAACACCATTTTAAATTACTTCTTCTGGCCTCAACTTTCAATCAAAGTGGCTGAGATCTTAAAGCAGTATTGTAACAGCAATGTACACTTTTCACATTTCACAGGGTTTGTAGTTGATCTTTAACATCAGTGAGTTTCTGTGGGAAGGATCAGTAAGAAAATAATGACTGTCCTTCTCTTTTACTTATTTTTACTTTAGATTTTGACAAGGTGTTCAATGGATGGTATATAACTTTTTCCTCTTCTTTTTTTTCTTTTTTTTTCTTTTTTCTTTCTTCCAAGTGGCTTGTGAGAGTAGATGGGGAAGGGCTGAGCTATACCCTAGTGGTCGAATGTCCATGGGGCAAATTTGTACTGTTTTGTCCTCCACTGAAGGTGTTGAAAGTATGCAAAGGCTGCATTCCTGTTAATGTATTTGGAATCATGGTTATGGTGTTGGGTGTCATTAGCGGGATGTCATCTGGAGACCTTCTCAAAGTGAGCGTGTAGTCAGGCGGACAGGTGAGTCTCAGTGTGTCGTGGGCCTGCAGTGATTCACACTCGTGGTCATGTTCTAGCTGCTTCATCTGCAAGGACATGATCTCCTCATTTTGTATGTGTGCTATGTCGTTGGTGGTGTTCCTCTGGGGGCTGGGGCGCCTGTGAGTCTCGTGACGCCGTTTGTCCTTCTTGTAATACAATGCAGCAAAAGCTAAAATATTGAGGAACAGCAAGGAGGCCCCCACAGCAATGGTGACACTCAGCTCTGTGGAGTAATCCCTCTTGTTTTCTATCAGAACTGTCGTATCCTCTGGAGCTGTTTTATGGGTGTCTTTCGAATGTTTGGGATTGTTGGCAGGTGTCATTGCTGGGCGTTTGGTGGCTGGCCATAATTTACCAGGAGAACGTCGGGTCACATAGGGAAATGAGGTCATGTCAGGAGGGGGGACTTTAGTTGTTGTGGAAACATACTGAAATATTTCATTCAGGTTGTGAAGGTGTGGTACGAGTTCCAACCAGAAAGCAACTTTGGTTGCTCGATAGTGATCACGCACTCGGGGTTTCAGGCCAATATGTAAATAAAGTTGGTCTTTCGGATTGTATTTGGACCAGGCCACTTCTTCAAAGCGGTTGGGTTTTGTGTGGATGAACTTTGTGTCCTGTGGAACAGGCTGGTTTGGATCTCTAAAAAAAAAAAAAAAAAAAAAAAAGAAAGTTGACAATTTTACAGTCATTAACATTTTCACAAAAAAAATCTACAACAAAACAAAAGCAAACAAACATGAAACCCTCTCAGTTTTAGTTATAGTTTATCCAATATTTACAGTAACCTAAAAGCAGAAGATAAAAACCCTCCCTAACTGAAGAACAGCTATTAACGAATAATCAAAATAAAATTACTTACTCTACAGAGCATCTCAGATACCACAATATTTTTTTTACATGAACATGCAGCAGTGTTCCAGTTACCAAAAGGTCATCTGAAGTTCTGTGATTCAATACCATTCTCCAAGGAGTGTGTCTCAGAGACATACCATCTCAGAGAAGTACCAACTGCCTGTTCCCACAGTAAATGCGTTGATTCAACCCTTCTCCAGGTTTGACATTAACTTTCTCATTTAAGATACCACTTCCACTGCTGTAAGTAGTAAATATGGACATATAAGCCCCATGGCATTATTGGAAAGCCTTGTGAACACACAAAATGTACAATTGTACAAGTAAAAAACCCTCTTCAAAACCTGAAGTACCAGGGCTAATACATGTACCTGGGAACCTTTGCTGCCTTTTTTTTTTTTTTTTAATTGAGCTATTAGTCCTCCTCCATTTAAATATCTATTTGGGGAAAAAACCTTTGAACTACCTTTGAGTCACAAATCTTTCCATCATTTCCACTAACAGGTGACTATTTGAACGTTCCATGTGATCATTGCTATGAACTACTGTGTTTGGTGGCCAAAGGACAATGGGCCTTAACTGAGATGAGAAATATTTTAGCTGAGATGAACCAGTTTTAAAGTACTTCAATAGCAGTAAGATAAGAGTAGTACACAACTCAGAGATAATTTCAAAATTGGTAAACCATTTATTTTTTTCTTAGAGGTTCAGAATAAGGACAAACCAATGTCAAAAAGAGCATTTAGATGTGTTTAATGTATGCATATCCTTAGTATTTTAAATTTAAATAAATAGCATGAAAAAATACAGAAAGTTAAAATTACTTTTACAATACTAATATTAATAGTAGGTTGCAGATTAATTTGAATCATCTTTTCTAGCACTGATTGCTTTCTGTGACTTCGTAATGTATTATACTCAGAGTACATTATTTATTTCCTGTGCATTACTCATAACTCCATTCTCCTCGTTATTCATTTATATGCATTGGTTTATTTCCTGTGAAAACAATTCTAATATTTTTCTTTACTTCCAATATACAGTTATGTATATTCTGGGAATACCAAAACAAAACCCTATAGATTTTAAAGTACGTTTTTTCTTTTTCCATTTTCAAAAGCCCATGGATCTAATAGCCTACTTTAACATTCCTTTGCTGCACATAAAGAGCTATTTCTTAGTTCCTAAACGAGACACGTAGTTTGACTTTAATAATCTTATGATTCCTGTATTCTTTTCTATCTGAAAGAAGGTATCTCACCTTTTTTTTGAGAAAAGTATTAATTTTTTATATATTTTTGGTATTTTAGCTTACTTATGCTTGTGGGTTTAGTGCTTGAGGTTTTTTGGGGTGGTGTAGTGTGTGGACTTTTTTTTTTTTTTTTTTTGTAATATTGAAATATATCTCATCCTTCCCATTTCAATAGGATATACAAATACAAACTAGGCGTTCTGAAATGCTATCATTTCTTTTCTTTCTTTCTTTCTTTCTTTCTTTCTTTCTTTCTCTTTCCTTCTTTCCTTCTTTCCTTCTTTTTCTCTCTCCCCTGCTTCTCTCTTTCAACAGTTAGCCAAATGTTAGTGTGTGTTAGTCTGTGTTAGTTCAGAAAAAAAAAAAAGATAACTTATTGGTAATTTTTCATCCCAGTTCAAACTAAAGAAGTAATATTACCTTCCAATCGGTACAGAAAGAGATGTATGCTGCTGCTTTGAGGCAGTCTAACATGTGCTGAAGAAGGAAATAAAGCTATTTATTTTATTAGAGAACACACTGAAAGATCTGGAAAATTTAAACACAAAAACATTGGCCCAATTCAGTATATCTACTTTGAAAAAACTTTGGGGTTCAAAAAATAAATTCTAAAGCAAACTAAAAATCAAAAAGGTTGCCTAAATGCAAAACACTTTTCTTCTCAGAAACTCAAAGTACTGCAAGAGTGCTGACACACAAACTTGTGTCATCCCCCTTGCTGTTCTGATTCACATTCCAAAAGACTCTGGGAATGGTTCTAGAGAGAACTGATTCCTTAAGTTAGCTTTTGTAAACAAATTGCAGTTGATACATGGTATAGGAGATGAAGAAGCTGAGAACTTAACTCACTTTAAAAAGCAATCAAGCTGGACCTGCACTTTTAAAATTTTTAGTGGTCATATAAACATTATTATTATCATCATAGATGATGATTATTTTAGCAAATAACATTTTTATAAAATTACCATTCTTACTGTGGTCCCTTCGAACCTTACAAATTTTGTATCCTGTGATTCCCTTTCTCTACAGAAAGCCTGCAAAACAAGTAAATATCAGCCTCCTTTTTCCTCTCTTCCATCCTCTACTTCCATCTGTCATTTTTAACTATATTTATTGAAGCAGCCAATTATGCTGCCGCCTCCTCCAAACACAAGAGAGGAAATAACATTACATGAGTCTGGGCTTGTATTTGAATATTTGTTTACATGGCTCTGTGTGGGCATGAAGTTGTCCATTGAAACAAGAAACAGAAAAAAATCAACCATCCCTACAGACAAGTAATTTCTTTGCTAAGGATATCAGAGCTCTGCCATTGACATCAACTCTAGGGCTGATCATTTAAAAATGAATAAAATGGTTTGAATAGTCTCTCTGAATTTGGAAGATAGATATCTAAATTATGTTGGGGTTTTTTTACAAGAAACAGGAATAACTAAGTCCAGTCCTAAATAAAGGATCTAATAATGGCCTTGGATCTTGGTTATATAGACTAATGATTATTTGCCAAAAATAGTCAGTAGATATAAACAGGAGAATTTTTATTTCCCTTGGCCATCCTGCTAGGTACACTGCAGAAAATTCATGAAGTTGCAACTCATAACTTGTTAAGTTTTTTTCCTGGGGTAGTTGGGCAGCTTATCTTACTATGAACCATTTTCCTGTTTTATTGTTAGGCATAAAACATAGATGTACAGACAATCATTTCTCCTATCAAATCATCTGTCCAACAAAATTCTTGATCTGTTACTTTAATTTCAAATTTTTCCCTGCCTGTTAAGACTCTCACAATTCCTTTGTGTTTCTTGATGTTCTTGAGGCTCAAGTATGTAATTTCATAACAAAGACTGCCAGGAAACCTTCCTTTAAAAATCCACTGCAATCGTGATGATAACAGTATAATCTGAACAATATATTTCCAGTTCTATACTTCTTACAGTATTGGCTCTCATGGTGGGGAGATTTCTTGTTTCCCCATTTGTCAGTTGGTAGGGAGGCTTTTTCTTTTCTTCATCCGACTACTATAACAACATTGATGACTATAGTTATTTATTTTTCTATCTCATTACTTATTTTTATCACCTTTAGAATTCAAACAGCTTATCCATCAAAAAATGTCTCCACCATGAAATGCCAGCATTTTTTTTCCATATGACAGAGCACGATAACTTCTCTAAGGTATATTTTTGTTAATGTGCAGAATAATCCCATTTCACCTGTCACCTTTTTCCTCTCACTTTCAGTCTGCACTAATTTTGTATGGCCTAAGATGTTTTTGTATATTGTCATTGAATTCACATCTCATGAGCTAGAGACATAAAATCAAAACATCAATTTTTTCTCAGTTGATATTAAGTAAATATGCCTGCAATTGTTGATGTTGACTGAAGAGCAACACACACTCCTGTTCACAAGGTAGATTAGTAGCTGACCTGGAGGGTAAATAAAGGAACTGGGTATTTCATATCTGATTGTATTTTCATGGGAAGAATAGTGAATTAAGAAGTTTTCTCACATCCTAAATTTCTTATGAGATGGTGAAACACCATTTGTGTTCTAACTACTTCTGCCACAGCGTTGACTATCACTCAGGACAGTGGAATTGTTACATTAATGTATTTGAAATGTTTTAAATTTTGTGTTTTTCTCTATCGTCACTGGAGAGCAAAAAGTCTCCACAGTTACATAATCTGTGTTTCCAACCCTATGAAAGGCCCCTAGATACCTTATTTTCTTTCAGTAGTACTCTTTTCTCTGTATGATAAAAAAAAATGGAAGAGAGAGAAAAAATGGCTTTACTTTATTCTTCTGTTGGTTCTTTTCACGCTGTCACAACACTAATAATGCCACAGCCATTTCTGCTTGAAGGACTGGTACACCGGCACGTGTTCCCTTACCTCCTCTCCTCAATTATCACCAGGTCCCACAGTTGCCATGCTCCCTGTCAGCTAAGGGCTCCTTATAACAGCTGAGGAACACAAACCATAACTACACTGTTTTGTTTTGCCATCGGAAACAGTTATTTCTTCAGATGAAAACATCCAAAAAAAAAAAAAATGCAACAGCCTCATAAAAGAGTTGCCTGAGAATTTATTTGAAACTACACTTTATTAATTGCAAGTTTAATCAGGTCTTCCATTAGAAAACCAAACTGCATACAAAACACAGACATGTTTAATAACTCAGGTCTGTGCTTCAGAATCAATGATACCAAAATAATTCTGTACTATTTACCTAAAATACAAAGAAAAAAAGGATATATCCTCTAGATCTTTCTCTTTCCCAATACCAACACAGGTAGAGCTGAATGAACAGGAGAAAAAGTAGAATACTGTAATTCCTCAAAACCAGGGCAATTTTTAGAAACCTAATATATGTCTCTAATGAGAGTATGGCTTTGTATCTACCGTGTGAAACTTCAAATCCTTCACACGAGCATAGCTGGCAGAGTATCTATGAAGGACTGGCACACAACCCCTCATGTTGTTCACTCTTCCCCAGCTGATGTGTCTGCAAAGGATGTAACATGGTCCTAACAAACAGAACTTGGCATACAAAACTGCCATTACAGTTAGGATGGCACTACTGGCAGCAGACTGAAGCTCCAAATGCACCTCTTAATGAAGCTCTCACATATAATTCTGTGCATTGAGGAGTTCAAAAGTGTATTTTCATGTCATTTTTGTATCCCAATCTCAAACTTTGTAATAAATTGTTTTCCTATTTCTAAGGCATTTTTGAAACAGTTTTGAAAAGGCCAAGTGAAAAACTCTTAATAATAATCACCATCATAATAAAAGAAAAGAGTCATAGGTAGAGGATTAGCAAAATGCTGCTTCCAGGTGTCCATTTTAAGCACAAACTCTTTGCCATTAAACACTTTGTCACCTCCTATTTGCTAGTTTCAGTAACCAACTTCCAAGTTAAATACAATAAAAGCACTGTGCCCTGTGCTGTGTCTTTCACCTACTGATTTTACAAGATTGACCTGCCCTGCAAACCCAGCCTTGGCAGTAAGCCCATTAAACAGCGTGTGCTTTCTAGCAATGGATGGCCTGTCATTAAATGCCTAGCAAAGTCCATCTGAATGATGCACCATCTGAGCCATAATTTCACAAGTACCTGGATGCAGCCTCTGTAGGAGAGTCATAGAGATTGGAAAAGTCTCAAACACATTAAAAATAAATAAACATATCTGCAGTTCTAATGTTCAAATCTTACCTATAGGGAAATGTAAAATAATTAAATCTTTTCATTAAAAGATTTTATATGTGTTGCCATGGGTACAAGTACAATGCAAGACAAGAACTATCATAAAAAGGATGGGAAGTTATCAATTAAATATAGGGTGGGGAAAAAACCAAAGCAGAGCCCCCAGTAATGCAGTTTTGAACTGTATCACTCATCTTGAGAATTGAAGGACCTGAGCGGGTACAGAGATTCCAGATTCCATGTGAGTGAGCAGAGTGGAGAACAGAGAAATCCCACTGCTCTAGGCTTGAGGTGCTGCAACCTTTGGCTTTCTGTTGAGGGACCAGAGGTGCAGAACAAATGTAATCGTAAAATATTATTGCCTCCAAGTATTCTCCTGTATGATGCAGAACAATTAATCATTGTTCACCCAAACAAAGAAAAGACCCCATTGCGATAATATGCATTGTGTTGCTCTTTTCCTTTCCTTTGAAAACTGAAATTTTACAGCTAGAGGCCATTGCTAATGATAGATCTTTCAGACTGCCTGTAAGGGAGTGAGTGTAATAGAATATATACCCCATTCCTGTCTCATCAGCAACAGGAAAGTTTCAGAAATTACTAATGGCTCTCTCAAAGCACCTGTTTTTGCCTTTAGGTATAGTATGACGATGGCTTTATAACCAGAGAACTGGGTATAGCCTGCTGAATTTAGTTTTCAAGTAGCAACAGCTGGAAAGTGCTTGCAATTATGAGTAATGGTGGCAGCTGAAATTGTGAGAAGCTCCTGTCAGCCTCGAAATCTGCTTAAATACAACTTTTTAATATACAGAGAATAGTAATAAAATAATTGTAAACAATAGTGAGACCATGGAGATCTTTCATCTCCATATTAATTCCAATGAGGCATATTTGTAAAGATCTGAAGTCCTCTATGTATACATAGCATTTCATCTACCAAAATAAAGACAAACTGATGGTATTATCATCTCTGAGCACGTGATACAGCCATCATGCAGGGTTGTCCATAAACCAAGAGCTCATCACAAAGTTTGCCCATCCCAGTACTGATAACTTCTTGTTTCCAAATACATCTAAATAGTACACAGTTCATTCATTTTTGTTGCTGAACTCCAGGGTTTCTACATGCTTTTGTACCTGTTTGTCTGATATGCACTACAACAAAAGAAATTTTTTTTCTTGTGCATTGACCTGAAGCATTTGATTGGTTTTTACTCAATTTATGCTTGAGTTCTTGTTAAGACTGCAAAATCTCTCTCTCAACCACCATTTAGATTCATGGAAGGCTACAAGGGCAGCTAAAGCCTCTGAGAGTTTCACAATAGGCATCTGAGTTTTTCTTGTATAGCTGCACACTGTTCACTGCAGTGCAGTAAAGCTGCAGTTTCCACAGCCCAATCCTGCCATTAAACATTCAGTGGAAAGATTTACAGCCCCTTTGTGCCACAAGTATCTTTGTTTTAATTCAGCACTGAAGACTCAAGGTTAACAAAAAAAAACCCTTGCCGCTGAAGAAAAACACTGCAATACTGTTTAAATGAATGTTATAGGAAGAGAACAGAATTTATAAATATTGCTCACAGATTAAGCTGCTTTGAGGGTTGTTTCCTTGGTGTTTACATCTCTATTTCATCAAAATATTGATGTCTTTATTTTGTTTTGTAAGCAGAATTAATTTGATTTTTTAACTTTCTCAAAGCAAAATTTATATCCCAGTCTCTTCTTCATTCCAGTCAAGTACTTATTATTGCCATTATAGCCCTCAGAGGGAAAAAAATTTCCAGTGCCTGCCTTTCTGTTCTAATTCCTCCCTGAGTCCTCATCCCTGTGAAGGTCACTGAAAAACAAGAACTTCCTTTCTTTTGTAGCAGATAAGTGCTATCTGCCTGGCAGTTCCTTCTTCAAGCAGCAGACATGTTGCGTCTGATTTTTCAGTATCTTAGTGAACCACCTTTTCTCTGAGACATGCTTTTTGTCTTAGTAATTGTCCTATTTTTTGAACCAAAAATACAGTGTGTTATTATTCTCATTGAGCTACTGAAAGAAAATAGTTTGAGGGAATACACTAATTAAAAATCTATTAAATATGAATAAGTCTCATTTACTTCCTATCTTAACACAAATATTTCTATACTACTACTTCAAAATGAGATTTTGAGGCCACTGGAATGGGATACTGACTATTTTAGAAGTATGCTATCAACAAAATGAATGCTAGGGGTCACACTTACCCAGTTTTTGCAAAGTTAGTCCAGTATGTCATAACCACTGCACTGAGCATGACATCATTCTTGGAAAAGTTGCAGTTGAACAGTTCTGTGGGACCAATCATAGGAATCCCAAACACATAAGGGACTTCATCACCATGAGCTGAATCAGCCCAGCTGGGTTTCATTTCACTTTGGCAATGGTGATAAAATGCATAGAAATATGTTGGAGATCCATACTGGGCATGCAGGTCAGCCGTGGCAACAGCTGGAGCAACCCACTGGTGGTCGGTAAAAAGAGCAACCAGGGTCTTCCGTCTTGTTTCAGGATTTTCTTTATCTGCCCAGTCAGTATACATGAATTTAATAGTCTCTCGCAGTGTGTCCTTCCCTTCTGGATAACCATATAGATTGTCCACAAAATTGGAGACAGAAAAGTCAAAATCATTGGGAGAAACACCATCTTCATTGTCTACAATGCCATCCACAAATTTCAAACCTTCCCCTTGATTCACACCCAGCATTATATCATAGTTAAGGAATTCCCCTTGCTCCATTAGAATCTGAGGGTCATCTGGAATCACGTCTCCATCTATCACAGGCCCAAAGGCAATGTGGTACGTGGCTGGAGTGATGGTCTGTTGAATGAGTTCTTTGTAATTCTTATTCCGCAGACATTCAACCAAATCAGTGGTATCCAGCATGTCGCAGCCCACTTTATCTGCCAATATCCGAGTGTACTTGGCAGGCTGATAGTTCACTGCCCAGCTGGACAGGGCTGTTCCACTCTGTATGATTGCCTTTTGGAACAAACCTGCAGGTGCAAAGTGTTTAAATACAGATCCAATTAGATATTAAAAAAAATAATATATATATATATTTAAAAAAAATGAAAAGTATTTCTTACTAAGGAAACAAAACTTTGATTATAGAATCCCTAAAGGATGCATACAATGAAATTTGGAATCAATTTCCATAGATCCTACTCACTGCTCCCTTTTTATGCTATGTCAAATAGGCTACTAATTAAAATCTCTCATGTTCTTGATGCTCACACACAAAAAGCATGAAGGTTTCAGGTTATTGTTTCAAGAACAAAGCTCATTCCTGTACTGCAGTTTTCTTGTGTCTTTGATGGAAGTCCTTTTGCTTTACCACATTGGTAGTCCTCTGAAAATTTCTTTGAAGGACTGGCAGCTAAAGGCAATTATATGCTCTTTGCCATGTAAATGACACTCAAAAATGTGCCTTTCAGTAGTTTAGAGGTCAAATGAAAATTACACGTTCTCGTTTCCTTCACAAAAGCCATGCATCATACTAACTTGAAAAAATCTGCTCTATTAAAAGCAATTTCATATGTTTGAATCTTCTATTCTGATATTTTTTATTTACCATTTAATTTTTAAATTATTATTGTGTGTGTATATTAGTACTGCCTATATATTGAAGTGTGTGTGTGTGTGTGTGTGTGTAATCCTGCTCTGGTGTTGAATTAAAATGTATTTAAATTGTTTTGCAAGAGTGTAAGATGATATTCAATGGTTCTTTCTGGTTGTTTTATTTACACTAATATAAAGGAAAATGAAAACCCAATCTGAAGAGCTTCTTTGCTTAAAGCACTGAAAGGCAAGGGGAGCTTACTGGTGAATCTGCCCCATCTGTGTTTTTTTTTCTGGTATAACCACTCAAATGGCCTATTTTATATTTAAACTGAAATACTTGGGTGTCTTCTGCACATGGTTTCTACCATCATGTTCTCAAAATGCAAAAGACAGTAAAAGCTAGAAAAGCAAGTGGGGTTTTTGTTGATATATCTTTGAGGATGATAACTAAATGCACACACTAAAAAAATTTCAATTATTTAATCAGTTAAGTTTTTCATGATTCCATCTGCTTGATTTTGGCATGGCTTGCTCAACAGTTATACACTGAAATTTTATTTGTATTAATAGACTGAATGGTGAAGCATAACTGTGTATTTCAAAATTAGGTGTGCTATCAAATTTAGGTTCTAGCTTTCAAAATTAATTTATAGCTATATCCCTGCTATAACTTCTGGCTATGGCTTATCTGTTAAAAATTTCTGTCTGTTTTATTGCTGTGATAGAAATGGCATGGATTAATAAATACAATAGATATTTTGGTGTTGTCTTTTATCAAGTCTTTGTAGATTTGGTCTTATCACCAGTAATATTTATAATTCAGTACTGGTACTGTACATTCTTGGAGTTTGGGTTTGGGTTTTTTTGGAGAGTGAGGTGCTGAGGGTAGAAATCCCACAGCTCACTTACCAAAATCTGAAGAACACTGTGTGGGATCACACAGCACTTGTGGGGAGTTAAACACAGTTTTTAATAAGGCTTAGTTATGTTTTTACTAAGGAAAACATCTACATATATGTTGGAAGTGCAGCCAAGAGTGTACAAAAAATCAAAAAGGTCATTGCTCTTTTCCATTTTAATTAGGGCAAATTCTTTGATAGAAAAGCCAGTGGAATCTGTTGATAAAGCTAGAAAAAATATATTGCCCGTGGCATTTGTTGCATGAGATTTATGCTGTAATAGCATTTACTTTTTCTTATAAAACATATTTATGTTGACTAATACAAATCCAGAATTCTATTTAGTAGGTATTTTACAAAAATTACGGACCTCGTGTAATTCTAATTCAGCCTGCCTCATTTTGCACTTTCACTAGGTTTTGACATTTAAAAAAACAAACAAAAAAAACCTTTGCCTGGAGGATTGTTACCTTCTGAATAGTGGGAGAGTGTCAGGAGACTGACACAGGAAGCTCCTGCCCCAGATCCAAAAATAGTAACTCTCTTCGGGTCTCCTCCAAAAGATCCAATATTTTCTTCAATCCAACGTAAAGCTTGGATTTGGTCAAGCAATCCATAATTGCCTTTTGCAGCTTGGTCCCCAGTACTTAAAAAACCTATAAGGCAAAACCCCATAATTTTAGTTCACCAGATACAGAGTTAGCTACAGGGTATCTACATATTCACAACATATCTTCCCATCTTTTCATCTTCTGTGCATTTTTTTTTTTCTTCCTCTTTGTAAAGGTCACAGTCCTAGTTAAATGCCTCCTGAGCAAGCAGAGAAAACTCATTCTGTGTGCTGTTTACCTTAAGTTTGTTTTTCCCTACTTCAGAGATCCCATTTATCAAGAATCGCTATTTCCTTATTTAAATATTTCTGTCAGCCCCACATTACACAAACTGAATTCATAAATCATTTCTGTAACAATGCAACAATACAGAAAGACAATTTTAAACATTTTATAACTGGATGTGAGTCGGGTACAAAATCTTAGAAAATCGTTTTTGGGCAAAGATGTGAGCCAGTCTATGACTGAGAACAACTCTCCCTAACACGTTAATTTAAATACTTCTCACCAAAATTCTCCTGAGCTACATAGCTCTTTAATTTTCTGTACTTGTGATATGGATAAATGTACTCCAAAACAGAAAAAAAAGAAGGCTGAAATAAATAGAAAAAGGAATATGAAAATACCTAGAAAAAAAAAATTACACTTCAATTTCACAGAGGATATTTATTAGGAAGATAGCAGGTAAATCCATGGTAATATAGCCTTTAGTGGGGAGATTTTATCTGAACAAATCAAGTCTTGTCTTTCTCTTTGGAAATTGCAAGAAAACCTGTGCTGCTGTTTTTTGTTCCTATACTGTGGTTATCAGATTCTAGAAAAAAAAGCATGACGTTTGCTGCTTGTCTTGCAACTGAGAACAAAATGACCATAAGATTAGGACAGAGATTAATTTTGGTTTTTTGAAACCAGCTAAGGTGAAACATTGCAGTTATCCCTGCTGCCTATCATCCACAGTTAAGACCTTGTGCTATGTCCAAATTACCACATTGAGCCATGTACTCACAGTCCTCTCTTTAACTCCCATAGACCTTTTCCTGTTAGACAACTGCAAAGTCAGAAGTCAATTAGAAATACCTTACAGCATATGGAAGTTTTCAGATGGACATTACTGATTTAGGCTCCAGTGATGGCTATCAAAGACAAAACAAGGACATCACTTGGCAGGTTTCTTCCAGCTAATTATCAGTTGAGAAAAATTTGCTAGAATGGGGGCCCAGGACACAGGGTATCTACAGATTGGTGCAGTTGGAAATGAAAGTCTGTTATCATAAACCTTGTGAGCCTGCTGTAACAAGACTTCCATGCTCCTGGCTGGAAGGTGAGTCTTAGGTCCCTAGGGGAAAAAAGACTTTGCAGTACATTTCCCAGGCTTTGGTAAAGGGGAACAGATCTCTGCACTGGCTGTAATAATTTTTTTGTTTGTAGGAAAAATGAAAATACACATGATGGAAGGTATTCACATAATGGAGGAAGCAGAATACAAATCATATCCATATTGCTAAATAACATGATAAAGCTTTTTCATTTAAAAAGTCTCTACTAATGGAAAGCACGTCATAAAAATGGCAGCAACCTTTTTTTTTTCTCTTCTGTGCAGATGGAGAAAAAAAATGAACACTCTTAATCCATAATTGTCTCTATTTTTTTTAACAGATGTGTTTTTCTCTTTTTTCTCATGCCTGTATTATCTTTATAAGCCTGTCAAAGAAAGAATAACCCACTTGCTGGCTTTGTTGCTGTAGCTCACTGGAATATTCTATAATACTCTATAATTAAGGCTTTATTCAATCAGAACTATGACATTCATTGGATAAAGCGAGTGTTGTAACCTTTAAAGCAAGATGTTAATTAATATTCAGAGCCTAAACCTGTTTTAGTTCTACTAGCAGCATCAAACTAAAGCTGTTTGAACTTCTTAATTTTGAATTCTTACAAAATGTTCTAAAAGGTGAACTTGATAAAACTGCAGTCAATGAATATCTAATGTTCAAAAGACGAAGATTTTTTTTTTTTGTTTCCACAGTTGTCTGCTGATTCTCATTAATTGCAAGAACAAGTTTTCTTAATTTAAAAACTAATCACCATGGTAAAGAGTCAGCCCCACATTACACAAACTGAATTCATAAATCTGTCTTTTCTTGCCAAGGATATACTTTCTTTCATGCTCTGAGTACCAGATCAAAATATTTTTTTCAAAGCTATTTGAGGAAATTCAGGCATATAGTAACTATTTGTCCAGAAATACACAACCCTAAGAGTTTTTTGGTTTTTTTCTATATTATTTTGGTGAAGAGGAAAAAAATGCTTCTTTAAACTGAAGTTCCTGAAATAACTGTTATTTTTCTCTGACTCTGTGAAGGAAAGCATTCAAGAAAAATTCTTTCATTTTAAACTACTAGATAGAAATAGTCAAGGGGAAAAAGATTGCAAATGGAAATTACTGGGAATTTTCCTTTTCAACAACCTTTAAAATGCACGTACTCAAAAGTTACATGCTGTCATTTGCACTGTTTTGATAACACAGTGAATACACAAAGCTACACACAAGGCTCCCTTAGATCCCACTTAGACAAAAAGAAATCCCTAGCTGTATCTTTAGGGTTGGTTTTCCCATATGCTACAGAAATCTTACTGAGATACTAAGCCTCAACATACTAGTGGTGATATTTCCCCATTACCACTAAAAACTTATGCAGACACCCACCGGGACAAGTAGAAGAGAAGAATATCAATAAATCCATCCAAAGGGTCTAATTTTATTCAGTTCCAGCCTTGTCTAGTGGTTGGAGGCCATCCCTACACATCCCTAGTATGGCTGGCAGACCTTCAAGAGTCAGTCTAAAGAGAACGGGTGGAATGCCTGTCCACTGTACACTTTCATGTACTTCAGTTTACCATGATCAAGCTATTGTCTGGCCCATGGGCTGAATGAATGACTTCTCATGGCCACAGTGCATAAGGGGCAGGACATCTTCCAGCTGAGGCTCACCTGGAAGGGCCCAAGCATAAGAAACTCTCTGCAATGAGAAACAATATGCAAGGAGTGGTGACAGTACTGAGATTTTCTGTGGAAATACACTCTTGATCTGAATTAAAACACTAGTGTAAACATGGTCAGGATAAAAACCATATTTTCCCAACCACAAGACTTCAATTTAACATACACAGATTTAGGAAGAAATAAAGGCAATGGAGAAAACCCCCTAAACACCATTATGTTAAAGATTGTAAATTATGATCTGAGAACTATGACTTTACCCTTACAGATAAATAAAATCACCAAGATAACTTCAATCTTGCAGTAACTTTCATTTTAAAATTTATATATTTATATAAAAATATATTAAATTATATAAATTATATAAATTTATATATTAATATATAATATCTTTATATATTATATTAAATATATTATATAAATTATATTAATTTATATATAAATTTATATATTAAAATTTATATTATCTACTTTCTCATTCTTTTAAAATTATTTAAAAAAATAAATTACACAACTTCCCTTTGACATTTTGCACACCGTAATACCCGATATTGCATCACTGCAGGAAAAGTCCATTCTTTATCTTCATATTTTGGCCCCATAGACCTAATACGTATCAAATCAATTTGATAGCTGTCTGAACGCCTAAATTTCAACTGTGAATATTCCTCTGCTAATTTGTGCCTTTTTCCCTCTCACTCCCTCCCTTCCAACCCCCAAGTTGGGGGACTGTTTCCCAGTGCAAACAGATGAGGTTGTCTTGGTGAAAGCTGGTGTTATATTACTGGCTCAAAATAGCATCAAAACTTACAAATACATTTTGGTACTCATAAGCTGCACTGACTCTCAGATTTAAATAAAATCAAAAATTGAATCAATCATATTTGTTTTTTTTTATAATTAAGAAGGGAAATATAAATAATGAAAGATTAAACTTGATTCCATCATGAATTTTAATATGTACTTATAAAAGTATATCTTGAAATGAAACATACTTTTCTTTGTAAATTAAGTACTTTTCCTTCAACTTCTGCCCTTCACAGATTTTCTTAAAAACAAAATGTTTAAGTTCTGAGACACAGCCTTCAGACAAAAAATAATGCCAAACTTAGTAAGAAGCATTAAACAGCCAAGATGTCACAAGGAAAAATTAATCACCAGGAAATCTGCAGAAAATCAACAAGTTAGTGAATTTTGATCTATTTAAGTCTTCTTTCTTAAGCCTCTGCTGCATTTTCTGAGTTCACATTTCTTTTGTCTTTATGCCTTTTCATGACTGCTGTCCAATAGCCTGGTGCAGTTTGTTTATCAGGTGACATACACAGATTGATTTGTATAGCTACTGATCAGAACTATGACATAAGCAATATAAATAAGATACCGGAGACTGTGCTTTGGAGAACAATCATGTCTTTTTTGTTTACATTTGTGAAATACCAGAGTAGGGCCTTTTCAAAGCAAATGGCAAGCATAAAGCAGAGCCTTCATATTTTCTAATAGATTTTGTCTGTACCTATCATATTTACTACTGTAAAAGTGGACCAGTTCAAATGTCAAGTAAAATTCAGTGGGGATTATTGAGAACATAGAGACTACATTTGGTTCAGGAAGACCCTGAAATATAAATAGTTGGAGAATATAGAAGCATTAGAAGGAATTATCATATAAGTTTGTCCTATGCTTGCCCTTCCCTAACCATTCCCAAACATCCCCAATAGGGTTAGGAGCCAGGATGTTTGGCTGGATGATATCTTGGTTGGAATCAATATAACTATACATTTTTTTGGTTTTTTTGACTCTATGTCTATAAACAGTATGATGTAAACATTACTGAAAAACTGGTGGAATGCAAGATAGAGTGCTGGTGTCTTGGCACAGATTTAGCAGAAAAAACCCCAAACTCCTGCAGCATGACTGGCCATGCAAAGTTGAGTAAGCATCATAGCTGCACCTGAAATTTCTGCCTAGAGACTAAAACAAACAAGAGGACTGTTGACTGGCTATGTATGGGTCTGTGCAGAAATAATGTTACACAGAGATTTCT